ATTTTGATCTTAAGTTTATTCATATACATTGATAATAAAGTAGCTTAATTAAATTTTAAATGTAACTCTGTGGAAGGTTGTGACACGTGCACTTTGACCTACCCAATGTAAAAAGGTTAAAACAGTGATTCTAAACAAGTCAAAATATGCATTTTGTTCCCTGATGTAAGACAACATGTTTACATATGTATCACATTCTTTTGACACTGCTCAATTATAAGTTCATATAGGCTGAATTTGGTCTTTAATTAATATTTCAGAATAAAATGTTAGCTGTCATGTTAAACATAAGAAAGTTAAAACTTATAATAAAAGTAACTTAAACATTATTACACAATGTTTCACATGTATAACATAATGTTTGAGTAGTCAAAGAGCTAAAATAATAGAACAATAAACTTACGTTTCATCGAAGACTGGATTGGCTGTGTTCTGACAAACATGAGTCTTTTGTTTAGTTTCCTTAGAATCTGCAATCAAATACACTTTAACGTATGGATCAGGCAGTTCCTCTTCATCTTTATAAGGCAAGTTACTGAAATTGAAGATGGGAAAAAAAGATAAAGCTTCCTTAGTGAGCATCACATTATATCTCCTACGAACAAGCTTGACATGTACTTGAATGAAATAAGTCTATTAAAACAAACACCCATCCTGATTCAAGTTTTAAAAAAGAAGAAAAAAATATATGAACAATTTTCTTTATGTTGACTAGGTATTTGAAAGCATTAAGTTACTCAATTTTGTTTTCAATATACAGCCAAAAATATGAGGTAATATCAAACTAATAGCTCGACAGTATGTAGCAATCTTTAATTGGTGACAAAACATTTTAATAATTAAGAAACAAAAACCGGGGAATATATGAGTTATGTACAGAAGAGTAAGAACAAGACAGTAATGTACCCTACCTTGGGCTATGAATGAAACTAAACACTGAAAGTCAAGGCCATATAAAGAACACAGTCTTCATCAATTGGTATTCTATATCATTCATACTATGATACTTGTTATTCTAAGAAATGGCTTACATATAAATAGCATTCTGACCACAATTATGTTTATTGTATCTCAGCCCTGATGAGCTCTGATATTAAATGAAACACATTAGCAGCAATGGATATGTTGAACATAGTGTGGCTGAAATGCTATTATACACAAAATTTCTCTGAAGAGCCTATGGCATCGAATAAAGTATATAGTGCTTAAAGATACAATAAGCCTAATACTGTTTGAAAAAATTATCTCCGATATATCTCTCATGCGGGCCTGGCATGGCCCGGTGGATAAGTCACTCGACTCGCAGTCCGAGGGTCGCGGGTTCGCGTCCTTGTTGCACCAAACATGCCCACTTGGGCATGGGGCTAGCAACTCCACCCCGATAACAATCTGCTACAGAAACTGCAACAACACTTCCGTCGGCGAAGTGTTGTTGTAGCCCTATGTTCCACTAGGAACGACAGGAACTAAGAAGAAGAAGATATCTCTCATGCAAGTCCAGACAATAATTTAATTATTGTAACTGTGATCCGTATTCTCCAAAACAATTGGATAACACCTTTCGCAACACAATCTTGTCCAATAAAATTAAATTACGGTACATAATTAGATTGTTTGACCACCCCACCCCCCTCTCCCAATGCACAAATCTTATTTGGTAAAATTATAACAAACAAATTCTATATTGGTATAGTGTGTACTTAAAGTTTGGAACAAGTCATAATGTTAGATTCATCCTTTGGTAAATACTTGAAGAAAAGTAAAGAATGTCAATGAAAAGAACTTACACAACTTTGTGTACAACAACTATAAGTTTGTTGCGCTGCATGCTGTAACGAAGAGTCAGCTGAATTTTTGGCAAATCTTTTTCTTCTTCTGTGCTCATTCTACAAATGATTTAAAGTTATCTGATTAAGTTAACATGAAATTCAGATCTTTAAGGAAAACTATACAAAGTCTGTCATTCAAATTAAATAACATTTAAAAAAGTACAAAAATCCACACCATTTACATAATATTATAAAGTAAAATAAAATGATTCTACTTAAAAAGTTTTAAGTTCACAATTAGAAAGTTAAAATGTTGTACCTATATACTTGTAAACATAACTTAAATCTTTAGTACTCTGCTGTGACGTATAGCAGCACATCAGATGGTTTACTATTTTTCAGAATATCTGGAAAGTCATGTTTGTTTTCTTGGATCTTTTGTAAAGTTATACATGGTCTATTTTCACTAGCCATTCCTAATTTTGAATTGATATATTAGAGAAAAAGGAGCTAGTCAAATCACACACCACTAACTGTTGAGCTACCAATATCAGACCAAATAATGGGGTTTGACAGTCACTCTTATAACACACCCACAGCTCAAAAGCTCTATTTCTTTGTGGAGGTAACATGACATGAACCATGGAACCCCAAGTCCACAGTCTGACATGCTAACTAATGGGCCTCGCTAAACCCACATCTGGGAACGAGCAAACTTTTCAATACCAGTACTATACTGTAAATTCCAAAACTTGAAATATACACATATTTCTTGTCATAAGTATTAAACAGAACTATAAAAGTAGTATACTTTTTATCAATACACAATTCTTTGTATGGCATATGCTTTGATTTGATAAATGCTATTTAAACTAAATTATTTTGCACACAAAAGAAGTGACTTTGTAAGTTCTATAATACATTCATACAAGTAAATTTGCTCACATAGATATGGCCTATAGAGCTATTAAATCTAAAATTGCAGTGAGAAAAAAGGTGTTACTGGCTGCTTTTTTATTAATATTATTAATGTACATAAGAGTGACCAAAACAAATAAAACAAAAGTTATATAACAACTTTCAAGCTATGAGCATTAGAAAGTTTCATTCTATTTGTAACACTTAAAAACTGTTAACTTTTATCCTTCTATAACTAGAAAATAACTTGATTTTATTTGGGTATATTCAGGTAAAATAAAAATAAAAATTGTGCAGGTGTTTTACAGTTAGTTAACATTCTTGTGAACGAGATGCAAATAGTTGTAAACATGCATTAATTTGCATCTCAGGCTAAGATTACATACTACAGTGGCTATTACACACAGTTTATGCTTGTTTAAAATCATTTGGCCATACATCTGTGTCAATGATCTCCTGGAGTGTAGATGGGAGGTACAGATGTTTGTACAAGTCAGCACGAGTTGGGAATTTATTTTCCCTTGAATATGTAAAATGGTTATGATAACATATGTAGGTAATCTAAAATGTGGTACAGACAGAAACCTGGCATCAAAGTTATTTTAAATAATTTGTAAAATAAGTATTAGCTGAAAAAAATGTAAACTAAAAACTGAAAAGTCAGGTTTACTGCTTAACTGTGGAATATGATAATTCAATTCTTATCAGTTCTTCATGAAATATCAACATGCATGTGTTTGAGTTTCTTTTCTTATCCAATGTCCAGATGTTGGTTTGTTTTGAATTTCATGCAAAGCTGCACAAGGGCTATCTTCACTAGCCGTCCCTAATTTAGCAGTGCAAGACTAGAGGGAAGACAGCTAGTCATCACCACCCACCACCAACTCTTGGGCTACTCTTTTACCAACGAATAGTGGGATTGACCGTCACATTATAAAGCCCCCATGGGTGAAAGGTCGAGTACACTCAGTGGGACAGAGATTTGAACATGCAACTTCGGATAGCAAGTCATGCACCCGAACTACCTGGCCATGCTGGGCCCCCAGATGTTGGACTTAAGAACATCACATATTCAACACCTTAATGTTGGCAACTTCAAGAATAAGTGTCTATTAATTATATTCACTTTATTTTATCTAAGCAAGTTTTTTTTTGTGAAATATATCATGATAACTGAACATTCTTTATAAAATCGCATGAGAATGTGATGTCCTGTTCAGATTATTTAACAATTTTATTTTAGCATAATTGCTCTTTGCCTTTCTGAATTCCTACAGTATCAGAGATTAAACTCTCTATTCACCACTTTGTCCAAAACCAATTTTAAGTTAAAATGGTGAAAATAAAACCAATTTGATGAAGTTTTTGGTGGAAGTATGCTCTAAAACCCTCTTTGTATTGATTGTACCGAGTTAGTGTTATTGGCAAATAACTGATTTCATTGTGATGTCAATAACAGTTCTCACATTCTGCCAAACCAAGCATTTCAGGATTTCCATTTAGCCAATGACCCCATTAATAATATTTTCCAATTATGCATTGAAATTTGTATAAAAATCAAAATATAGGTCAAATTGCCTTGACATCAGGTACACTTAAAACCCACCTTATGAAAACCTGTTAATTGCATTTTTCAGTAATTTAAGAAGTTTCCTGTCCATTTATAGAAACTTTCTTATAAATACTGCTCTTTGCAATTTTTTTCTCAATTTCAATTAAGAAGCTCATAAAGTGCATATGCAATCCACTGTATTGAATAAAAAAATTGAATGTTCAAAATAAAATGTACTTGAATACAGTATTTTTTTCCATTATATTTGGGCTACAAATAAGATGTATTTAGGGCACTCAAAATTTGTCAAAGTTCCTTTTCAAAATGTAATATTTAATATAGTTAATTCATTGATTTCTTTAAAAATTGGCTGCCGGTCTAAATGAAAGCCTCAATTGCAAACTGGTCCAGTTCAAATTTCTTTTGTAAGTTTACAATTGTGTATTTGTAAGTGTAAGGTTATTTTCAAAAGTGCATTTATTCTTGTTGTAAAATTGTTATATATATCACAGCTTCTTATTGTTTAGGCCGATAACAGTGTTTTGTAGTGAAACATCCTATTGGTAGATGATCTCGACTGCTGTGAGAAAGGATCAAGAGTCCACAGCTGCATCAAAGAAAAGATTGAAGAAAGGAATTGTTCGATTGGATACATGGAATGTTAGAAGTTTTAGAGAGGGAATGCGAGAGAGTAGATGTAATGGAGCAAAGAGGAAAAAAAAAGAGCCTTATGTGTACAGAAGGATTACAAAGTGTTTTACAGTGGTTAGGAATAATTTTAAATGGAGTTCTTAAAGAAAAACTAAGGGAGATTAAAATAATATATGATAGATTGATAGGTTTAAAAATAGTACTTGGGGTTGAAATGATAAATATAGTATCAGCATATGCACTACAGCAAGAGAAAGAAAAAAGATGAATTTTAGAGAAACTCTTGAAGACATAATAAGGAGCATTCCCCAGCCAGAGGCAATAATGATTGGAGGAAATCTGAACTGCCATGTGGGGAAAAGGTATCAAAGTAAGAGGGATAAAGTTTGCTGGAGATGGATGATGCTTTAGACATGCGTGTTGCCAACACACGGTTTTTATAAGAGAGAAAACATTTTATTGTTTACAAATATGGACAATATAAAATTCAAATTGACTATATGCTAGTAAGAAAGTCAGGCATGAGAATAGTATGAAAGACAGACATGAGAACTATTGTGGATTTCAAAATACTTCTGAGAGAGGTAGTAGTGACACAACATAGACTACTGGTTGCAGACGTGAGGATAGGAAAAGTAAAAAGAGCAAGAGAATGAGAAGAGAAAATAAGAGTTCAGACACTCAGGGAATATAAGATCCCTGAATACAAAGATGACGTAGTAATATTAAGATACACGGTGGGAGAGAACAGAAGGAGAAAGGGTAAATAACACATGGAATAAAATAAAAGCAATACTGGCGGAAGGAGCAATGTGGTATCAAGAAATGAGGAAAGCCCTAAGGGAGAAAGACATGGTGATGGAATGAAGAAGTGCAAGAGATAATAAAAGAGAAGAGAGAGGCATTTAAAAAAATGACAAGTAATGGTGATGAACATGCAAGAACTAGATATGGAATATAAGAAGAAAGTAGTTGCTGAAGTGGAAAGTGGTAAGAAAATCTGGGAACACTGGAAGGAGAGTAAGCAATAAGTAGGATATCAAAATCAAAAGATAAAAGAAATGTTGGAGAAATAAGTATGATAAACAACAAACAGGGTTGTATACAAGTTGATGAAGAAGATATTAAGAAGAGATCAAAAGAATGTTATGAAGAATTAATGAATTAGAAGAAGTGGCAGTTATGGAAGGGTTCAGTGGAAGCAGTCAGAAGGTTGGAGGTGAAGAGATCCATTGATAAAATGAAATTTGTGAAAGCAAGTGGTCCATCAGGTGTGGTAGTGGAAATGGTAAAGACTTTGGAAGAGGAGGACATTAGATGGGTATGGCAGCTTCTGCAGAAAACATGGGAAGAAGAAAAAATACCTTCATGTTCGGAAAAAAGCGTACTGGTCCCTAACTAATATTTTCTTATTTCTGTTTTTCAACTTACATAAAAGCCATAATTCAGCAAATACTTCAGTGAAATATTTTTCTGGCTTTTAAATGTTCAGATGTTTGTATTGTTGGCAAGAGTACTAGAATAGATGTGATGTTATGGATGTGAACTCTCAAATGTTTGGGGAAGTTGTAGATGGAAATACAACAATGTGCGTATACATACATACATATATATATATATATATATATATATATA